AAGTGAGAACTTGCTGTATACATACATACATATACAATAAAACTGACAGCTAAACAGAAAACAATATTTTTTTAATAGTCTTTGATTTCAAAGAATATTAAGTGAAGTTCATATTTTTATAAATAACATTATATATACTTTATTTTTTGTCTATACTGTTTTGAATAGAATTATTCAATTATTTTTGGGATTTTTAGACTTTCTGGATTCAATAACTTTAAAAACATTAATTAATATCTACTTTTTGTAAATATTGCTTGAAGTTAAACAATGAAGAACCAGAATCACAAATTTTTCGAGCAAAACAGTCTTTAATCTTTTAAAATGTTAAATATATAAAGCAATTAACTGAAAATGTATTATTATTATTGTAAAGGATAGTGAGGAGGGAAGCTGGAGAATTTTCCTGGGTCCAGAGAAAACTTAGCAAACTGTAGCGATTCCTAAAGAATTAATAGTATTTTTACTAAGAGAAAATAAATTCTTTAAGACAACTTTTTATTAATAAAAATAACTTCTACATATTTCATTTGGTCAAAAAACAAAAGATTATAGGGCTTTCTAAGAGCAAAAGGAAATACACTATCCCTAGGACCTATACAAGCACTTGATGCCTTGGTCAGAGTTGTTTGTTAACTTTTGTTTAATCAGAAAAAATTCAGATAAATAATATTTAAATATAAAAATTTTGATCAATAAGCTCTACTGCAGGGGTGTGCGAGCCGCATGCGGCCCAATGCAAGTTCCAATGCGGCCCAATAAAGGTGTAAACAAAACCGACAAATGTTTTAATTTTTTATTATTTATTTATTTCAACGGCATAAACTCAGAAAAGAAGTTTCACAAAGCCATAAACCTTTATTCATATTTTAGTTTTGAGTGGAAATGAAATATTTTCATGTACTTGGAGATGTGTGAATGANTGTATTGTATGTGTAATGTATAAATGTTTCTGTTAATGTATTGTATGTGTAATGTATAAATGTTTCTGTTAATGTATTGTATGTGTAATGTATAAATGTTTCTGTTAATGTATTGTATGTGTAATGTATAAATGTTTCTGTTAATGTATTGTATGTGTAATGTATAAATGTTTCTGTTAATGTATTGTATGTGTAATGTATAAATGTATTGATATATTAGGTTTACCGTATTAATGTGAAAATGTATTTGAAGTGTTTTTAAATGGCTGTATTTTAAACTCTTTCCAACGTTACCCGTTATACACCGTGGTTTTACAAGACAGAACCTTAGGTAACGTATATGTGTAACAATTTTTAAATACAATAGTTTTATGTCAGTAAATATGATCTACATGCGAAGAATTTGTCATCTTACTAATTGTATTTATTTTTAAATAATTTGTAGTTTTGATCTGAAGAGGGACTTAAAATACATATAAGTCCGAAATGCATATGTCAAAACAATAAAAGAAGTATCTAACTTGAAAGCTGTATTGATAGTCTACCGAACTGAATTGATGGGATTAAAGAGACACATTCACAACGAAATAGCAGCTACCATAAGTGATATGTTGTTTACTGATTTCTCACTCTGTCTTCAATATGATTATTGCTACGTATTTTTCGATTAAATACATTAAATCATTGACAAAAGATAATATTTTGTATGGAAGATGTTTTAAAATGAATTTTAATCTCTACTTTATAATTAATTATTTTAATTTTTATAGGAAAAAATAAGATTATATATGAAGCCTAGAAAGCCTATATATATATCCTCACAAAATTTTTTTGCTCAGAATCTGCTCAGCAAAATTATTTTTTGCACAGAGAAGTACATGTTCCGCTCAGCTACAAAAAGAATTAGAGGGAACATTGCTTGTGGCCCAAAACTCCTTGACTTCTTTTAATGCGGCCCAGAGAAACAAAAAGGTTGGACACCCCCGTTTTAGACTGAACCGGTATACAATTGAAATAAGTACAGTACATTAAGAACTGCGATCTGTTTATCCACACCTAAAGTGAATTTAACATCTTCATAATATATAAAACGAAGAAATTCGGTCTCTTCTACGATGGCTGCCATCTTGAAGTTTAAATCTTCCGGTAGTCACAGGATTGCAACGACTCTAAGGACTGTTTGAGATCGATGAAGCTACAGGGCTCGACGGTTACGTGACTTCCGCACTTATTGTTGCACAGAGAGGATTAGAAACGTGTTATCTCAAACTGTGGCGACACCGTAGAGTTTAGAAACGTCTTCTATGCCCGAAGCTACACTTAACACCGCTAAAAGAAATAGAACAGCCAATAGTTATTTCGACAACGAGCAATTATTTATTGTGACACGGTCACAATGCCGGCTGTAATTTTTAATCATATTTTTAATTTATTTAATTTAAAACATAAGCTTTCCACCTTAAATTAGCAGTGGCTTGTCCCCGCACATCATCCTTTTTCTTTGACAATAAAATTCGTGTTGGTCATCTGTCTAATAAGTTATCTTTCGGAGAAAAGTTTTGAATTGCGATAACGTGACTTCTGGTTTGCATCAGAAGTTCTTATATAGTTGTTCGGGGCCCTGTCCCTATTTAGTCTCGTATTTCGTCTATCTAACTCCATTCTTTAAGGAAAGACAATGGGAATTTATAAGTCTATAATTTTTTTTTTCAAATTGTAGCCCAATTACAACTGCTATCATAGAGATTGACAACATTTAGTGAAGCTTTTAGCTATATTTAACTTAAAACAGACGAATATACACACAGAACGTATTCATAGAATTATCAGCTTTAATTTTCCAATCTGCATGGTTTTAATTTATTTTATCCTTCCCATCTATAATTAAATTTTAATGGAAACCTGCATGTTTATTTGCCTCCCCGTTTACAAAACTAAATATAAATTTCTTTCACGTATTATTTATTTTTAAAAAATATAAAAAATCCATTTAGCCCAACTATTTCCATTAAATTCCATAAAATTTCTCAAATACTCATCGTTACGGATTCGTTTATTTCTAACTTTTGAAGGAAATAGGCAACATTTTATTTCATTTTATATATAAAATGTTTGATTTCTTCATAATATCCACGTTCCGAAACAGATTGGCTCAGAAATCAGTTAACCGAGATATAAAGAAGTCAGGTGATTCGATTAACTCGCTTTTGGGCCACCCCCAAACACACATACACATAATTACAAAGTAAGTATAATATTAATGTTTTTTTATACTTATTTTTATTAATTTTCTATTATTAAATTATATAAAAGTGAACAAATCATTTACCATCCTTTAGTTTCCTTTCGTAATACCCTAAAAATCCCGATGATGCAGCTTAAGAATGACTTTCATTGATCTCCATCGCATCGTAATTGAGAGAAAAGTAGTGTTTTAATTAGTGTTCTGCTATTCATCGTGATTTCTTTTATTTTAAAATCATTTTAGCAAGAGTTCTCTGACCTATCGCTTCTAAATTCGTTCAAACAAATTGATAGTAATTAATTGTTATTTTTATACGACTCGACTTTAATTTTAATGACATTTTTGACTTTTATACACGAAAACAACCCCCGTAACAAGTTTACGGCTTCTCTAGATTTTTTTCGCAACGTTAAATAATGTTTGTTGAAACTTTTTTAGTAAAAAAATGATTGTTTCTTTATTAAAATTCTCCTCCATCGTAACTGATAGTCCTTTGATGTACGGCTATCGATTTGAGTTCATTGTTATTCTCATGGCACGCTATGATGTGACATTTTCCATGGTGAACGTTTGCAAACATTTACAAAGTCTTGGCAAGAAAACAATAACATCTCCCATCTATTTTTTGCACTAATTTATCTCTTTTTCATAAATCCATTATAAATTTCTTCATTCATCAACCTATCGATTAAAAAAAAAAATAGATAAATCTTACAATTTTTGGACTTTATTTTCTCTCTCCTCAAAAATTATAGACGAAAATTATTACATTTTTATAATATTTTTAATTAATTAGGTCGTAATTATTGTAAAATATTTCGTAATAATTAAAATTTAAACGGGTAAAAGAGCAATTTATGCATTAATTTGATAAAGCAAATGTGTAAATTACAAGAATTAAAAAAGGCAATAAATTAAATGTGTACATTTCAACGATTAACACGTGCTCATCACAATAAATTAAATATGTGAGTTACAACAATTAATTAACGTGTTCGTTGCCGTAAATTAAATCTGTCGATTTCAACAATTAAAAATATGCTCTCGATTTCAACAATTAAAAATACGCTCTCGTTACTAGAAATTAAACGTGTAAATTGCAATTAAAATATGTTCGTTACAGTAAATAAAATGTGTAAATTACAATAATCAACACGTGTTCGTTGGAATAAATTAAATGTAGATTACAACAATTAAAATATGCTCATTGCAGTAAAACACATGTAAATTTCTATAGTTAAAATGCTTGTTAAAGATAAAGATGATTAAAATATTAAACATGATTATAATTGTAATTATAACAAGTAATAAAAAAAATTAATTGTTAAACTATATTTTAATTGGGAATAAGTATAGAAAACTGAATTAGAAATTAATTATGGAAATGATCGTTTTCTAATTAAGTGTCAAAATTCCATTAATTATAATTAAATTTATTATACGGTTTTAATGTTGTTTCAAAATATATTTATTTATTATAAAAATGATTTACAATCATAATAAACAATAAGACAATTTTTATATCACTTTTTTATTGTTTACAAATTTTTTCACGTTAATGCACATAAAAATGTTGATGTATCATAAATTTTATTATTATTATTTTCCTGTATTCAGCTTTACTTTAACGATGTGTTAAAGTAATTAATTACGCTATTATTACGTAGAATACTGTATTATATTCTCATATAAACATTTAATTGTAATAAATATAATCGATTATTACGTAACAATATAAAGCGACGATAAAGAAATTTATAACCTGTTCATTGTTACGTAACAATTTTTCGAGTTTTATTAAAATTTTATTTAATAAATTAAATTATTTTGAGGCGTCGAAAGCGTTAAATCTGTTTAATTTTCTTAATTTTAACGGTTTAATTAATTTTCTGATTTAGCGTTCAAATTAACAATAGAAACACTACGCTAAGAAAAGACACGTGGGAGTGACTCACACGTAAAAAATTATAACGGTAATTGCTTATTATATACATTTATTTCTATAACAATTAATTTATTATCAAAATATTGTTCTATAATTTATTTTATTGAACATTTTAAGTATATATTCCTTAAGGGCAAAGAAGTAAGAAAGTATTAAACAATGGTTGTTAGTGTATATCTCCATTTTGGATCTGTAACAACAGCTGGAGGACTTACTTAGCCTCGGGCTTCATCTATATGAGGTCGGTGTCGATCATAATCATAGATTTTTTAACTTTTATTTCTCCATCTGCATCCTGTTTGTCATCCAGGAAAACCAATTGCGAAAGATATTCGTGTTCAACGGACCACGTATCCCCCTTGATAAGAGGAAGATGGTATTTTATAAGTTGCCATTATGTAATGATGGAATGTGACATCTCATCAGCTCCGACTTATACTCGGCAAGGGTGTAATTTCGTTCTTCTTTGTTTCGTTTCTGACATTCTTATCTTTATTTACCACTTTATAGGAGAGTGAAAATAACCCGTAAGGGGGAAAATCGGGTCAAAAATACAGTTTAAAATGACGTCGTTGTCGTTATTGTTACGCGGATCGTGCTACTTTCTAATTACAGGGGTGGAAATCTAGTTATTCTGTGTTTAGATTATGTGAGGAAGCATTTACACAGTAAGAATAACTTCGTATTACCAATAACATTAACAAATAAAAAGGGACGTAAAGGGATAAAAATTAGGGATAGATGCGAGGAAAGTGGACATAAAATAGTGACGTAAATTTCGAATATTCGAAATATGGTGTGTGCACGCGCAATTTGTCATTCGTGTTACGCAGAATTGGTAATGAATGAAAGTTCGATTATTAACTGTCATTGAATGGTAATAATTATTTCAGAATTAATATTAGCCACTTTATATGCTTTTAAGTAATATTAGTGTTCATCTTTAACGAAATACAAACGGCGAAACACAAATGATAGATGAAAAAACACAAGGTATTAAGTAAATTTAATTATTTCATAAAGTTGTAAATTTTCGTAGAGACTCGCTTGTTTAATTAAAAGTTCTGGTCCCATACAATTTCGACAATCGCCAGTGATATATTCCATCGCCATACTCACTTTCGAGTAGAACAATATCCTATGGGCAAAAAGGGTAATTGCCTCGGAGCTCTATCAACGGGGGCCCAAACCAATCTTTTGTAAATACATTATTGTAGTAAGAATATGGGATTATGAATGTGTCTCTTTAATCCGATCAATTCAGTTCGGTAGACTATCAATACATCTTTCAGGTTAAATACTTCTTTTATTGTTTTGACATATGCATTTCGGACTTATATGTATTTTAAGTCCCTCTTTATTATTTTACCTTAGAGTAATGGTGAATAAGTGTGCTAATTTTTACTTTTAGTGATGAATAAGCACAACAAAGAAAAACAACGAGGGTAAGTGTAGTATCTAAATGTAATTACACTATGTTTTGTTTGAGAGTGATAAGTGCGTGATCGAAGACGATGCACTTATTAATGTTAATTCATGGGAAGAACAATTACCTCGAGCAATTAGCAACACGATAATTCTCGTACTGTGTTAAGATAATTGCAACTATAGGTGTTGTACAGCTAGTAACTTTATATTATGACCGTTTTAATACAGACAAAGTGTAATTTTTCAATTATTCTGATGGTCGATTCTTCAGTTTCTAAATTTTTAAAATGTTTTAATTATCTGATTGGATAGAGATTGGCTTTAAGAATATACCAATGAAAGATTTCTACTGATTTTCCGTAGACAGCGACAGTATTTAATTCCCTAAATGCTGTTAGGAAAGAAAAACAGGTCATTAACGGTATTTAGGGAGATATGACCCGATTTTAATTGGAGTTTCTGTTTGTTCATTCCCAAAATTAACAATTATCATACTTAGTCACTATTACTCCGCGATAGAATGTTAATTTAAGCTGTAAATAAGAGTTTAAAGCACTAATTCAACACACCAGTAGCCGTTGCGGTTGCCGTTCCCGGAGGAATTTCTAGTATATAGAAGAAGAAAATAGAAGCATCGAAATGTTATCAATGAATAGTGTAAATATGTATGTATCATCGTTTGTACTCTGTTCATCAGATCTGTACTTTAGATTGTGTCTTTAATTACGTTTCTTCTACAACCAGTGACTACAGAGGAAACATACAGATAAGAACAGACGTTTAAACTAAAAGTCAAATTCTGACTCATTAAACCGTTGTTATAATTAACGATTTTTAAAATAATGCACTACCAAAAATGTAATTTATAGTTTCGACTTAAGATTGAGCGGAGACTATCGCTTGTATAAAACATTTGATAAGGATCGTTTTTGTGGAGAATTTTCATGTCTTCCGGTTCGTATAGCATCTTCGTCGCTATAAGACCAATAGCAACAGAGACATTAACGAAAAATCAATTTTACACCCCCTCTTAACGTTATTTTAATGTTTTATAGCACCTTTTAACGCTATAAAACATAAGGGTACGCCAGAATTCCCGGGACTTTTGACATATTATTTAGTATGATAAGTTTGTTATATGTATAATAAAGTAGATTTGGCCAATGCGCGTGTTAAAGAATTGACAGTCTGTTTTTTACTTATGTACTGTACAGTACGTACAAACGTTTGTTTGTAATTAAAATTAAGAGTGTATGAAGTTTAATTTTACATACTACAAATTAATATTATACGTTATACGTATAACTAGACAAGGATAATCCTTTAAATAGGTGTTGTGTATAGATCTAGGGCTCTGAATATAACACATTTAGGCGCATAAAAATAAAAGTTTTAGTATCCAGACATTGATTCTGGAAGGAATTTAATATTCTTAGTTTCAATAATTTAAAATTACACCCTTTGTTCGTATTTGTAGCAAAGCAGAATCGTATAAAATGGCGCCGAATACCCGAGAAGATCTTAAAATTGTATAAAAAACCGTTTCGTGTTTCGTGTTTTTAGAATAATATTGCCAATTAAGTTGATTTCATATTTTCTTTTTTAAATTTAGATTCCCTTTAGAGATATGTAAAGAAATATTTCTTCGGTGTTGTGTCATACCCGTATCCAAATGGTTTAATTATAAATGGAAATAAAAACTCAAAAATTTTCTAAAAATCGAAAGAATTGTTTCGGTTATAATCTAAACTATTTGTATCTAGAAGAACCCAGAGGAATTTCTCCCCCTTCAAATCCAGAAGAACCTAAGTGGGGAGAAAACCCTTTGGTACTTGTAAATATTCTTAATTTTTAAATAATTAATAAGAACTTTTTACCAACACGTGCACGACAATTGTATTGTGGAATCATAATTGAGGAGGATGCGAGGAGGAGGTTTAAGCCACTTTAGCTTCCTCCTCTGGTTATAGGCTAATTATTATTTCGTTGTTTTATTTTTCTTTTCTTAATCATTTCATTATTAAATTAGACACGATTCAAGATCATTTTGGGGAAAATGTTTTATTAAGAGAATGTTTAATCACTTTTAAGTATGGAAGCAATTCGTATTACGTGCTTACTATTGTTTTCCATCGCCGAATCATTGTAAACGTAATTAAGTACTTTTAAATAAAGTATTTTTGCCTTTAATTAACATTAATTTATACTTGTTTTAGACTCTAATGAAGGCACTAGACCGCGGACGGTCACACCTTGTCAAGATAGGAGCCATACACTATCAACTAAATACTAATTTGGTCGGTACATTTTAAATCGAAAACGCGTGTAAGATTCCTGACCATCAAACGTAGAAGATGAATGCAGATTTACTGACGGATTACTGACTTCGTCATCATCAATTTATTCAGATGGGTACACTCCTAGTACCACATATCCTCAGACCCGACAATCTCTTCTCTTGGCAGTAACGAAACATAGAAACACGAGTCTAGTAAAGTTGCTCGAGTAAACACGTTTGGAATTTCCTTTGAAATAAAAATTTAAGTATAGAAAAGCGTTAAAAAGACGAGCAGAGGATCGATTCTTTATTTTTGTTAAAATGTTACCACAAATCCTTTCACTATCGGTTGATTTCGATTCGTGGTTTTCAGACTAAATATACTTTCTCCACATTTCCATTAAGTTTCCGTACTAACACCGACATTTTAATTTCTTCTGCTACGAATTTACTTTTACTATTGTTTGAATGTTAATTTAAATCTTCGCAAGTTCGGCTCATCGTTTCCTCAAACCTAAAAATGCCAAAAAATTTTTCAAGATTCGAAGCTGCGATTGATATCTCTGGTTAGCATTGTAATTAATCCGCTTCTGTTGATATTAAATAGAAACTTTTCTTGGTTTGCCGTCACATCATCGTTTCGTCAAAGAACGATGACGTAGTGTTCGAACCGAAATGTTTCCGCACGTGCTTAACCATATTATACGCGTGATGATTGATAAGTTTTATTTTTATGCCATACGAAAGAAATCTTCCGGCAAGAAATTAAAGTTGAACATTCGAAATCAATAGCAACAATATTAACGAAAAACCAATCGTAAGCCCCTTTTCAGCGCTAAAAAGGCAGCTTACGAGGTACAGAAGAATGCTGGGGACTTTGACATTTCAATTAGTGTGACCAGTGGCGTGCCGTGACATTTGATGATAGGGAAGCTGTTTCTGTATGAAGCCGACTTCCAGGGGCAATCATTTAATTGTGCCAGTGACGGTCTAGGGTAGTGTTTCTCAACGGGGGCGATATCATCCCCATGTGGGCGTTTTTCCATGTTGAGGGGTCGATTAGTAACAATTTACATTTTGGGGGCGAAAAACAATTTTCTGGACGATATAGTAAAACATTATATTAAGAATAATTAGATATTTTATTCGTTACATCGTACAATAATTAAACAAATAACATTATACTAGTCACTAGTCTATTGAATGCAATACGAATTTGGCGTTAGCCTTGGCCCTCGGCAATGGAATTTTGAAGTGAAGGGGGCGATACTACGTAAAGGTTTTATTGAAGGGGACGACGATTCGTTAGAGGTTGAGAAACACTGGTCTAGGGTCCATTCGTATCCTTTGTTCAGTAAGCCAGTAAAACCCGCAGACTTCTTTTACCACTTAGTCAAATAGCTCCCTACGAGTGGAATCAAAGACGGTCCTGCTAGGTGTGAGGTCCGTGCATGCAAGCGGGCTGCCAAATCCCCGGGGTGCCCATACCGGTCAATGTCAAATACCTCTTTCGTCGCATCATTAGTATATCTCAAAGGACGAGACAGGGCTGTTGTAAATTTTAAACGTTTCTCACCATAGCTGTAAAAATCTAAATACGTTAAACTTAATGGTCATTTGTTTTCTAACTAATTCGTTTTAGGACCGGGTGTTGTCCACGGAAATTTCCAAAATTTACAACTTTTCGGTCACTCTAGTCGAACTGGAAAAATTTCTGTCTTTATGACATCTAATACAGTATTTCGAAGAAATCAGTCCCTACTGTACTCGGCTATAGATTGGGTCGGTTAAGCTTTTAAGTAATATTCCGGCTCTTTCGTCAGGGTTTATGTCCCCAATTCCCTAAGCGCTTAATTATTTAACTACTACTTAAGTAGAAATAAGTCGAAACCGGTTACTTTCTACTCGAATATTTGTAGTCTTTGGAAAAAAGTGGAAAGACAAATTTTTATGACAAACGGATACATAAATCGTAAATTTAAGGAAAATAAATTCTAGAGCTTTTTCTGTACCTGGTGCATCTCTCTCATTCATTAAATTTAGGAAAGCGGCGCATCTATCGCTTCCAATGACGGCACGCCACTGAGTGTGACCAAATAAAGCGATGTACAAAAATTAGACTTGCTTAAAATTTTTCTGTAGAAATTATTATTACTAGAAGTATGTAAAAAAGTAGTCACTTGCCACCAGGATACAAATCGGATCTCATCTCATCAATATTAAACTTAAGCCCGCTACTGCCTAAATTATTCTCCAGATTACTTCAGAATAGTTATTGTGTAGTTTCCAGGTTGTTTTTTGGCTTATGACAACACCCCGGGAACCTAACTGTTCGTAAATAGGGGAGCTTCTATACGCAATTATTCGACAAACACTAATATACTCAAAACAATACATTAAAATTTTGAGGATAAAAGTTACATACATTGTCTATCTTGATATTTCCTAGGCTTTACATTCGGCGCTTCCCAACGTATTGTTAACTATATTATGAGGATATTTTGATATTAACCCGACCATTCATTCCTGGCTAAATAGTAATTTTTTTTTATCCCGATAGTGTAAGATAACTGCGAATTTCTCCTTTGCAAATCTGTCCATAATATATTAAATTATGGCTGTATGGGACACAACAATGACGTCATTTCGGAGAGAAAAGAAACGAATTGTTACCACGTATTTCCAATAATGGCCGATGCAGTGTGTTTATTCGCTGGAAACTTTTTTTTGTCTACAAATCATTTAACTGTAAAAAAGTCTTACAAGTATGGAAGATATGTTAATTAATTCTAAAAGTAATAGAAGAGGGAAGAAACGAAGGCACAAAGCTTGCTTCGTGAAAGACGTTATACCACTCTATACCGATGTTTCTCTCGAGAGACACTTTAGACTGAACCGGTGTACAGTTTAAATAAGTACATTAAGAACTGCGATCTCTTTATCCACACCTACAGCGAATTTAACATCTTCGTATATAAAACGAAGAACTTCGGTCTTCTATGGTGGCTGTCATCTTGATGTTTAAATCTTCCGAACAACGGCTGGCCGCGTTTATGCAGCGAAAATGGCATCACGAGCAGCTATCATTTTTATTTTAGTCATGGGCATAGCGAGGGGGTCTGGGTGGGCACGGCCCTCCCCAGTGAACCTGGTGCCCCCCAGAAAATCACAGCCGAAAAGGTGTTGAGCCGACTTCAAAAAAGAACGAAAAACTTAAAGCTAAAAATCTTGAATACTAAAAAAACAAGGCCAACGGCTCCCTCTGTGCCCTGTGTCGATTATCGTGGAATTTTCATTTTAATGAATAATTTGAAATAATTCAATTTTGTGTCAGGTTGGCCTCTACTAGGCTCCCCCATAACAAAACTCAGGCTACGCCCATGGTTTTAGTCGCCGTAAAAGCTGATTTATCTTTGCTGCAGCCACCCCTTGCAACAAATCTCTAGAAACGGTTCGCTACACGATAGGGCTTTGTTTAGAAACGCTGTGTAGCGATCGAGCAGAGCTGCAAAAAAACGCGACAGCTCAGACTGAGATCGACGGTCACTTCATCCTCAATGAGTAATTTATACTCAGACTGGTGTACGAGAATATATTATTTTATTCACATCTACACATCATAACAACATTTTAACACATCTTCCACGTTTTAACTTCGTTATTATTATACGTTTTTAAAACACATTCTATTTAACGGACTTCGGGAATAGAAGACGTCCGAGAGTTTATTGTAGTTGTTTCCTACCGGAGAAACTTTTCTTTGGACAACGTAACGAACTTTAAAGTAGCATAATACGTAAGACTTTAACAAGTAACGAACACACTTCCTTATTAATTCGTTAAATCGAAGTTTACTAATCGGTGAACAGTTTTATAAGAATTTATTGCGGATTCTCGAGTAGCGAAATTCGCCATACGCATCACGCTAGTCAGAAATTACACGTGAACTACTGTATAATATAAATTACGCGATGCACGCGGGGTGAAAAAAGGAGAGGAAAACTGTACAGAAAAAGATTTATTTCATGTTTTTATATTTTTTTTGGTTTCAATTACACATCTGTGTAAACAAATAAGTCGACCAATTGAACATCACAAACGACAGTACTCATGGGGTAAAATGCAGACACTTTGGTATGAACGGATGATGACTTCTAAATTGTGAAAAATGCAGATAAAATGATAACTTCTTGTGACAATGATAATGATCTTTTTGTCCGCTTGCGTGTTATTTCGCGCCAAACGTCCTTTAAACAAAAGTTCACACCAAGTAGAGATTGACGGGTCTTCCCGCCAGAGGTTGCCTATTCAGTTCTTGCACCGCTTTCTGTGCATCCTGTGGCGTGTGAAACGATATTCTGGCTTCTCCCGTAGGTTGGCCCCTTTCGTTAAAACGTCGAATGACGTCCTCTTTGCCTAAAGAAAACTCCTTGAAGAAACTTAAAATGTCTTCTACACCCGCCTGATAGGCCATGTTGGTGATGGCCACCACGCAACCCGGTTTGCCGAAACCTTCCGGTCCGTGCACGATGCCGAACGGCGGCCTCATGCGTTCTCCCATGTGTGGTGGACCCCTGGGCATGGGTGGACCGCGTGGTGGTGGTAATCTAGGCATGGGACCTCGGTGATCGGGTCCGTCCATGTGCATTCTGGGCCTGTGGCCCGGTATGAGTCCTCTCAACAAAGGTCTGACTTCGGGTCCCGGGGGTGGTATGAAAGAACGTTCGTCCGGATCTAAAAGTGGTCTACCCGGAATTCGTACTCTATCTCGTTCTCCCGGTCCCCACGAAGGAGGATCCATCAAATGGCGCCGTTTTTCTGATGGAGGGTTGGAATCTTTGTGATCCGATTTGTCCGAGCTGCGTTTGGTGTCTTCCGATTTTGATTCACTTGCTGCATTTTCTGAAATTTTATTTTCGGAGGAATCGGATTTTTCATTTTTGTCTGAATGAGCGGAGTCCGATCTTCTGTTCGAAGGAGGACCTCTCCTCTCCATTCGTCTATCGGAACCCCCTTTTCTTTCGGAATGTTCCATTCTTCTATCGGATTGTCCTCCCCTTCTGTCTTGTGACTGAGAGGAGGGATGAGGAGCTCTTCCCATTCTTCTGTCTCCTTGAGACGGCCCCATTCTTCTTTCTCCCGGAGGAGGATGCTCCATCCGTCTTTCGGGCAACAAATGATCCATTCGCCTGTCTGGAGGACCCATTCTTCTTTCCTGGATCGGAGGTCCCATTCTTCTCGAGACCATGTCGATTTCCGATCTCTCCCTAGTTTCCGAAGTGGGTCTGTCCAAAAGTGGTCCCTCTCTCGGACCACCGAGGATTTCGATCATATCGGGGTAAGGAATAGATTTTACGGTCACCATAACCGGACCCATAAACTGTCCGTTTTTCTTGATGGCCCTCTCAAATTCTTGTACTGAACTGAATTCG